ACAGAACATTTGAACATACCCATAACCAGTAAAGAAACTCAATCAGTTATCAAAAATCTCCCAACAAGAGACCTGGGCCAGATGGCTTCCCAGGGAAATTCTACCAGATATTTATTTTTTTTTAAATAGTATTCTTTTTTTTTTTTTTAATTTATTTACTTATTTTGAGAGAGAACATGCACACGTGAGTTGGAGAGGGACACAGAGAGAGAATCCCAAGCAGGCTCTACGCTGTCAGCACAACAGAGCTCGATATGGGGCTCAAACCCAAGAACCAGGAGATCATGACCAGAGACAAAACCAAGAGTCAGACACTCCACTACATTATTCACCATGACCAAATGCGATTTATTGCTGGGCTACAGGGCTGGCGCAGTGTTTGCAAATCAATCAACGCAACACACCATATTAACAAAAGAAAGGATAAGAACTATAGGATCCTCTCACTAGATCCAGAAAAACCATTTGACAAAATACAGCATCTTTTCTTGATAAAAACTCTCAAGAAAGTAGGGAATAGAAGGAACATACCTCAGCATCAAAACAGCCACATATCAAAGACTCACAGCTAATAACATCCTCAACGGGGAAAAACTGAGAGCCTTGCCACTAAGGTAAGGACAGGACAGGGATGTCCACTGTCACCACTGTGGTTTAACTCAGCACTGGAAGCCCTGGCCTCAGCAATTAGACAACAAAAAGAAATAAAAGGCATAGAAATTGGCCAAGGAAGAAAAAATTTCACTCTTCGCGGATGACACGATACTCTACATAGAAAACCCAAAAGATTCCACCAAAAAAACAGCTAGAATTGATACATGAATTCAGCAAAGTCACAGAATATAAGATCAACATACTGAAACCGGTTGCAGAAAGAGAAATTAAGAAAACAATCCCACTTACAGCTGCACCAAAAACCTTAAGATACCTAGGAATAAACCTAACAACCAAAAAGGTAAAAGTTCTGTACACTATAGAAAACTACAGAAAGCTTATGAAAGAAACTGAAGAAGACACAAAGAAATGGAAAACATTCCATGCTTGTGGACAGAACAAATATTGTTCAAATGTCAATACTACAAAGCAATCCACACATTCAATGCAATCCCTATCAAAACAGCACCAGCATTCCTCACAGAGCTAGAACAAACAATCCTAAAATCTGTATGGAACCAGAAAAGACCCTGAATAGCCAAAATAATGTTGAAAAAGAAAACCAAAGCTGGAGGCATCACAATTCCAGGCTTCAAGCTGTATTACAAAGCTCTAATCATCAAGACAGTAATGGTACTGGCGCAAAAAGACACAAAGATCAACGGAACAGAACAGAAAACCTAGAAACAGACCCACAAACGTATGACCAATTAATCTTTGACAAAGCAGGAAAGAACATGGATTGGAAAAGACAGTCTCTCCAGCAAATGGTGCTGGGAAAACTGGACAGTGACGTGCAGAAGAATGGACCTGGACCACTTTCCTATACCACACACAAAAATAAATTCCAAACAGATAAAAGACCTAAATGTGAGGCAGGAAACCATCAAAATCCCACAGAACACAGGCAAGAACCTCTTTGACCTTGGCCATAGCAACTTCTTACTTGGCATATCTCCAGAGGCAAGGGAAACAAAAGCAAAAATTAATTACTGGGACCTCCTCAAGATAAAAACCTTCTGCAGATCAAAGGAAACAGTCAACAAAACCAAAAGTCAACTGACAGAATGGGAGAAGATATTTGCAAATGACATCAGATGAAAGGTTAGTATCCAAAATCTATTAAGAACTTATCAAACTTAACACCCAAAAAAACAAATAACCCAGTGACAAAATGGGCAGAAGACATAAACAGACACTTTTCCAAAGAAGACATCCAGATGGCTAACACATGAAAAGATGTTCAACATCACTCATCAGGGAGCCACAAATGTTCAACATCACTTATCAGGGAAATACAAAATCAAAACTACAATGAGATACCACCTCACACCTGTCAGAATTGCTAAAATTAACAATTCAGAAAGCAATAATTGTTGGCAAAGATGTGGAGAAAGGGGAGCGCTCTTACTCTGTTGGTGGGAATGCAGCCACTCTGAAAAACAGTACGGAGACTCCTCAGAAAATTAGACATAAAACTACTCTATGACCCAGCATTTGACTGCTAAATCCAAAAGATACAAAAATGTTGATTTGAAGGGGCACATGCACCCCAATGTTTATAACAACACTATCAAAAATATCTAAATTATGGAAAGATCCCAAATGGCCATTGACTGTTGAATGGATAAAGATGTGGTATGTATACATATACATATACATATGTTTGTGTGTGTATATATATATATACATATACACACATACATACATACCAAATATATGTATATATATATAAAATACATATATATTATATACATACCACATATGTATATGTATATACATGGAATATTAGATATACAAATATAAGTATATTTATACATATATATGTAGATACACACACATACACACACGGAATATTACTCGGTCATCAAAAAGAATGAAATCTTGCCATTTGCAACAATGTGGATAGAACCAGAGGGTGTAATGCTATGCAAAATAAGTCAGTCAGAGAAAGAAAAATGTATGATTTCACTCATGTGGAATTTAAGAAACACAACAGGTAAACATAGGGAAGAAAAATTAGATAAAAACAGACAGGAAGGCAACCATAAGACTTTTTTTTTTTTTTAATTTTATTTATTTATTTCTGAGAGAGAGAGAGGGAGACAGCGTGAGCAGAGGACGGTCAGAGAGAGAGGGAGACACAGAATCTGAAGCAGGCTCCAGGCTCTAAGCTGGCTGTGAGCACAGAGCCTGACGCGGGGCTCGAACCCACGAATCACGAGATCATGACCTGAGCTGAAGTCGGACGCTTAACCGACTGAGCCACCCAGGCGCCCCTCTGTGAGGTTTTAATATTGATCACAAAAGAGACATTAACTCAAGACATACCCAAAATTCAAAGAACTCACTTTTCCAAAAGAATATAGCCAATGCCCAGTAAGGATTAATTTTTGCTAAAGCTTTCTTCTAAATTGTGTTATTTCTAAAAGGCTACTGTAATGTTGTGATTGAGGAATAATCTACGTAAAAGATTTCAGCATTTGTTAAAAAAGAAGGAAACCCATTCTTATGTTTCATCATTCATCCATCCATTCAACAAATTTCTCACAACACTTGCTATGTACAAGAACAGGGCTGGGGACTCAGACCCCATCACATCCCAACACCTACCCTTTGGCCTGCTCTTAAGCACCTTCCTAAGTAGTAATGAAGTTAGATAAACATAAAACGACATCCAGTTTTACTGAGACCCTGAGACAACTACTGATTAGATTTTAATACAATTAAGTCTAATGTTTAATTTCTCTGCATATGACCGAGTATTGTGAAAACACTGAGGTTATGAATAAAATACTAAGGTTATGAAAATATTAGAAATCTCAGTTTTATTTTCATAGTAGTTATCATCTACTAATTATTTGTATAAACTACAAAAATGCAAATAACGAACAATGGGGTTTTACACAGTTGATCCTTGAACAACACAGGGTTAGGGGTACCAATACCACCCACCCCATGTAGTCAAAATACTCATATAACTTGTGACTCCCCCAAAACTACTAGTAGCCTACTATTGATCCAGAAGCCTTAGCAATAACATAGTCGACTAAAACATATTCTGTATGTTATACGTATTATATACTATATATTCTTACAATGAAGTAAGCCAGAGAAAAGAACATGTTATTAGGAAAATCATAAGGAAAAGAAAATGCATTAATAGTATTTATACAGCCCACATAAAAGTGGACCCATGCAGTTCAAATCCATTTTGTTTAAGAGTTAACTGTTAATGGGGCGCCTGGGTGGCTTAGTCGGTTAAGCGTCCGACTTTCGCTTGGGTCATGATCTCGCGGTTCGTGGGTTCGAGCCCCGCGTCGGGCTCTGTGCTGACTGCCAGCTCAGAGCCTGGAGCCTGTTTCAGTCTGTGACTCCCTCTCTCTCTGACCCTCCCCTGCTCACGCTGTCTCTCTCTCTCTCCTAGAAGTAAATTAAAAAAAAAAAAAAAGAGTTAACTGTTAAGAAACAAATCCATATGGAACAAAAAATGCAGGGCTTAAAATAAGCTTCATGAGGGCATAAAGACATTGACTGTCTCTTCAACAAATCATTTTTCAATCACATGTAACATCCCCCAATGAATTCAAAACACTACACTTTGTAGAGTAGCCATACAGGAAATTACAAAACTCCCTTTTAAAAATGTCTCATTATTCCTTCAAACCACATGAAGGGTTTCTCAGGGGTTTCTAGAGGACTTTTAGAATAGTTCAGTTGTGGGGCGTCTGGGTGGCTCAGTCGGTTGAGCGGTCTGACTTCAGCTCAGGTCATGATCTCATGGTTTGTGGGTTCAAGTTCCGCATCGGGCTCTGTGCTGACAGCCAGCTCAGAGCCTGGAGCCTGTTTTGGATTCTGTGTCTCCCTCTCTCTGACCCTCCCCTGCTCACGCTGTCTTGCTGTCTCTCTCTCTCTTCGGATTCTGTGTCTCCCTCTCTCTCTGAACCTCCCCTGCTCACACTGTCTCCCTGTCTCACTGTCTCTCTCTCAGAAATAAATAAAACATTTAAAACATTTTAAAAAAAGAAAGAAAGAATAGTTCAGTTGATATCTCTAGATTCTTACAGAAAACAAAGCAGACCATGTGAGCAATATAAACTGAATTGAAATTATATATTCATTCCATATACTTTACCTTCCAATTCTTAAAGTGATTCTTCAATGTCAGCCACTATGTATTAATTCAGAAACTGTGACTTTTATATATACAAATCAAATGATTTTCCCTTTTAGCTATAAACTTATTACTAAACATCTTACTATATAAAAAAATAAGTCCAACATGTTCACTCATCTTCATAAAGGTGTTCAACATCTTCATAAAGCCAAATACAAGTTGAACTTACCACTTTTTTAAAATCCTCTTCTGCTTCATCAAGTTTTCCTTGTTTGAGTAGTAAGTGACCTCTCTGTAACCTTGCCTAGAAAAAAGGGTGTTCTGAGAACGAGCATTTCCAAACTTTCTTTAAACACAAAGAATAAAACCAAGTAACATAATGAATTATTAATGAAATATTTATTTTCCCAATGCCCATTTGGCCTACACTCTTGAGAACAATTCCTGAAACCAATGAATGTGTATAATTTTTAAGCATTAAGTATGCTTCCTTAAAAATACTTTTTATGCTATATCCCCCAAAATTGAAAATATGTATACACACAAAATCTTGTAAATGAATGGTCAAATGAATAGCTAAAAAGTAAAAACCACCCAAATTCCCATTAACTAATAAATCATAAGTAAATGAGACATATACATACATACACACACACACACACACACACACACACACACACACAAACACACAAATATGGAAAATTAGCCAAGTATCCAAAGAAATGAAGTACTGTCACGTGCTACAACATGGGTGAACCTTGAAAACAATATGCTAAGTGAAAGAAGTCAGACACAAAAGGCCAAATACTGTATGATTTCTTTTATATGAAGTGTCCAAATAGGCAAATCCACACAGACAGAAAAAAAAGTGGTTGCCAGAGTCCAGGGCATAACTGGAAAGGGATTGCTAATGGGTACTCCATTTCTTTTAGGGGTGATAAAAATGTTCTGGAACTAGACAGTGGAGATGCCTGCATAACCTTGTGAATACACTAAAACACCACTTTTAAAAAAGGATGAATTTGATGGTACATGAATTTTATCTCAATTTAATTTTTTTTTTGCCATCGTAATAACTTTTTTGTCACCACAAAAAAAGCTGTATAATTTGGAACTTTACCAAAGTTTTAGAAATAATTTTGTTTTTATTAATTCTCAGTGGAAATACTCACTACAACCAAATAACAATACCTCTTCCCCTTTCCTATCCTTTTCCCCATGTATCATCTTCCCCCCTCCATCTCTGATATTCCTCTTCTCATGTGCATGAGAAAGAAAATTTTCACGCATCTCTTCCAAGAATACGAACTCTCTGATGAACAATGTGACCCTAAGACAGAAACCATATTGATATTCCACTAAAACTTAATGTATTACTTTTACAGTACAAAAAATTTCCCTGATTCTCTGTTAAGGGCATCGACACACATAAAAAGCAAGATGAAAGCCACTTCAACTAACTAATAATACTAAGAAAATGAACTACTTAACCTTTGTGAAAGGTTGCATTCACTTAGGTAGGTAAAGTAACAACAGATTAAAGAAAAGGCTGACGCTTGGGAATTTCATCCCAAAAACAACAGTAATATTTCAAACTAAACATTCACTCATATCTAATCAGTTATCTTAAGTCTCTTCTGGAATATGGCAGGATATAAACAATAAATGGGTTACCAAATCAATTTTGAAACCATCTAACCTACCCTATTATTTTAAGGCATTACACTAACCTGCCAAACATCAGGATATCCCATTAAACTGTAAATTCCTCCATTTCTGAAGCTTATGTGTTGGTTGCAGGAGATGGCTCCGGCTAATTCAGAATTGTGTCCTCACCACAAACCACCGCGTAAGTGATCTATCTCCTTTTCTTAATCATTCCTGTGATAGCCTGAACGGGGAACTACTGTCAGTCACCTGACAGCCTTTTAATTCAATGGCCTCTTGATCACCTGGTTACTCAGCCTCACATCTAGCCCTGCACTCCCCTCTACACAAAGGTCTTTCTAAGGCACAAGGCTGATGTCACTGCCAAGCTTCTACAATTCACCAAATGTACCCACTGTTCCTCTTTCACACAGACCTTTGATTCCAGGGTCTTTGGATTGTTTTTGCTGCCCAGTCTACTACACATACACGGCAGCTTCCTACACTCCCCAGCTATGCCCAGCAGGCTGGCCCTTACCTTTAAAGACAAATTACCTCTTCCAAATTCCTTTAAGTTTTCCTTTAAAGAAAGTTTAGATGCACTTACTGCAGTGAAATCCATCTTCAATTCAATCACTTTAGTTAAATCAGGAAGCGCTGCTTTTGATTTGCCCATAGCTAAAAAGACAGTAGCTCTCCGATAGTAAGCAATATAGTTATCTGGGTCACCATCTGAAAATTAAAATAATAAATATTAGCACTTGGTAATTTATTTAAAAACCCAAATCACTGGGGCGCCTGGTGGCTCAATTGGTTAAGCATCCAACTTCGGCTCAGGTCATGATCACACAGTTTGTGGGTTCGAGCCCCATGTCAGGCTCTGTGCTGACAGCTCAGAGCCTGGAGCCTGCTTCTGATTCTGTCTCCCTGTCTCTCTGCCCTTCCCCTGCTCATGCTCTCAGTCTCTCAAAAATAAACATTAAAAAATTAAAAAATATGGGGCGCCTGGGTGGCTTAGTCGGTTAAGTGTCCTACTTTCGCTTTGGTCATGATCTCTCTGTTTGTGGGTTCGTGCCCCGCGTCGGGCTCTGTGCTGACTGCCAGCTCAGAGCCCGGAGCCTGTTTCAGTCTGTGACTCCCTCTCTCTCTGACCCTCCCCTGCTCACGCTTTCTCTCTCTCTCTCCTAGAAATAAATTTAAAAAAAAAAATTAAAAAATAAAAACCCAAATCACCTAAACCATACTAGGTTTGCAATTCCCTTAAGGCATTGAGTCCTTCCATCAATAATGGGTCAAGTTGACTAGCAAGATCACTACAAATAAATCCAGAATAGGATTGACAAAGTATAGTCTCTGAGCCAAATCCAACCCACAGCCTTCAAGAATATCTTTTACATTTTTAAAGAGTTGTCAAGAAATAAAAATAAAAATAAAAGCACAGAGACTGTATGGCTGCAAAGCTTAAATATTCATCATCTGGCTCTTTAAAGGAAAAGTTTGCCAACCTCTGATCTAAAATATTGACTATATTTGGCTTACAACTTTTTTAAGTATGTAATTCAGTCTTTGTCTTTACTGAAATTTCCTTAAGTAAAATACTGATTGAGGGGCGCCTGGGTGGCTCAGATAGTTAAACATCTGACTTCAGCTCACGTCATGATCTCATGGTTCATGAGTTCAAGTGTCAGGCTTTGTGTGGATAGCTCAGATGCTGGAGCCTACTTCAGATTCTGTGTCTCCCTTTCTCACTCCACCACTCGTGCTCTCTCTCTCTCTCTCAAAAATAAATAAACATTTTTAAAAAATGTTTTTAAATACTGATTACGAATGTAATGTAATGCTTTACTCAGAGGATTTAAGAAAATTAGAGACTTCCAATTAAACTAATAGATTAAATGTACAATCTCTGCTCCCTCACAAATTCCAACTAAAATGGAAGTGAAGAAATAAAGGTACAAACTTTAGGACAAAGGAGGAGAACGGAAATGAGACAAGACTAATTATGTTAACAATATTTGAAAGAAGGAAAACAGATGGATGCATTAAGCTTTTTTAGCTAATTCCACTTTACCCAACACCTACACTTAGAAGTAAACCTTGTGCTGCCCAACAGTCCTTCTAGAAAGCAATTTTGGAATACATATGTGTATATACATATGTTCTTGACCAAATCCAGCCATGTGTCTTACACAAATAAATATTTATGTATACAGTTCTATTATTATAAGATTTACAACCAAAACTCTCTTAAAGTTGTATCCATGAAGGTCTTATCATCTGAGAAACATGATGAATGGGAATCTATGGCAGGACAGTATATCATCATTCAAAATCATGGTTTTGAGCAGTTGTTAATGGCATTAACCTACCTGAACCACTGCTGGACAAAAGAGGGCAGGAGGAGAGAGCAGGCTACAAAGTCATATATGAAAGAAGATATACAAAGAGCTGAAAGCACATGAAAAGATGCTTACTATCACTAACCATTAGGGAAATGTAAACCAAAACCACACTGAGATACCACTTCCCATCCATTATGATGGCTATTACAAAAAACAAAGGAAGGAAGGAGAGAAAGGGAGAGAGAGAAATGGGGAACAACTGCTTAATGGGTAGTTTTAGTCCGGGAGGAAGAAAAAGCTCTGGAGATGGAAGGTGATGCAGGTTGTACAAATATGTGAACACACTTAATGCCACTAACCTAATACACTTAAAAATGGTCAAAACAGTGAAATTTTGTAATACACTTTTCATTATACTATTTTATTAGGGTTGTATTTTTGAAAAACTAATAAAACTGGGCATTTTCACAATTAAAGAAGTTACTATTTTCCTCAAATCTAAAACAAAAATCAAAAATAATCCATACATCCCAGCTAAACATCACTGAAATTTCCTTCCTGATCAATTTTGCTCAGAAAACCAGGAAAAAAGATCATAGTCAGCAGCCTGTATATATGGTTATTTCCTACAAAATGCTATAACCTGAGGAAAAAGTAAGAAATGGAGTAACTATATTTAGAGCATAAATGATCTAGAATATTCTTAGATTCAGTTTATATTTGATTTAGTATGTATATTAAAAATATATGAGTCTGGTCAGCATAACTGGCCAGAAGAATGATTTGCTACCAGCCCTTTTAAGTGACTGGCACTGAAAGTTAAGAGAAAATTCACCACATGTCAACTGAGCAGAGAGGTCAGATTTTCTTCTTTATACTGAACATACATATTCCAAAATGTTTCATAATAAACTTGGAGTACTATATAAATTTTTTTTAAAAACTTAAGTTTTCTATGAATTATTTATACGAAGCAAAAAATAAATACTAGAAATAACAGGACTTAAGACCCGGAGTTTACATCACACATGATCATCTTCATATGTCCAAATCCTACTCAGTCTCTGAGGCACAGCTCAAATGACTCATTTAATGACACATGCGAAAATATACCTTCCATTCCCTCAATTTCCATAACGTTCTATAACATAGTATGCCTCTTACCGTGCCCTTAACACTCATCACCCCCTCTGGTATCAATTATTTATACACACACCTCAGTCTAGGGAAAATAAACTCGTTGAGTGCACTCACTCTAGTGTCTCGGGATCACCTGGCCCACAGGTACTCAAATAAAAGGAAATGGAAACAAATTCCTGATCACCACAATCAAGGCCAACAGTGAGACCTGCCTAGGACAAACAAGGGGCTAAAGTCAGGAGAGACATGGCTTTTTTTTGGTCTTTCTTTCATTCCCACAGGACACTGTAGTACTCAGCAGGTCCCTGGAGCTAGCCCGCGTTCCCACAGGGTCTCCGCACCGCTACGCTAGCCCAGGAGCTCCTGCCTCGCTTCTGGCCTTGATTCCCGGGCCTTCTCGTTGAGAAGGCCCAAGAAACTCTTCACATGGGCTTCTGTTGTGTTTGCCTTCCCTAGTGCCATCCTGTTGTGGACAAGGAGGAAGCACGCCAACATCAGCCATGCCATAGACCAAGAGCAACATTTCCCAGCCTCCGGATGGATATGGTCCCCTTCCTTCCAGAGCCAGGTCTGTAAACCCAGAGGACAAATGTTTTGTTGTCATACTCTGTCCAAGCAGAAGAGGCTGTTCTCAGAGTGGGACAAGAGAGGGAGGGGCTGAGGTCTCCGCTGCACGGCCCGCCCTCTGGTCCCTGCAGTCTTCCCAAGTTGGCACAGAGGGTCTGGTCTGGCAGACACTACCATCTCGTGCTTTCAGAAGAATTGCTGCTTGTAAATTCTGACCTCATTGGTCCGGCAAAGTTTTCCATTAGGAGTGCTTTCCATCCAGGAGGCAAAGCAAACACACATCTGGTCACACAGTTCCCCTTCTCCGTGCCAGCCACCCCACTCGGGGAGTCCAGAGAACCAACCTGGCTCCTAAAGAGATGTGCCTCACGAGGATATTCAGATCATTCTCCCATTAGAAATCAGTAATGGCATTTTGAAAAACAGATGTTGGCTTTTTTGAACTCTGTATCTAGTTCTTTCAAGAAACAAAAGAATGCTTAATGCCAGCATTAGGCAATTTCTCAAGAGGGTACCTACACTAAATATTGCACTGGACTTCTATTTGAGAAAAAACTGACCATTTCAGTCTATGTAGAAAAATCTCCAAAGAAGATTACATATGACATAGCTTTTAAGTATTTGATTATATATATATAATGTCTATATATAATAATCTGAAGCACTTTTATTTATTCTTCAGTTTTTACGTATTTTTAAGATATGAAATGGGATTACAGCCCCATCTTGTAACAATGAACCTAGAAAATTAAGGAATCAAATGACAATGGCTCAACATATGTATCAAGGATCAATGTTCCGGGTGCCTGGGTGGCTCAGTTGTTAAGCATCTGACTTCAGCTCAGGTCATGACCTCACAGTTCGGGAGTTCGAGTCTCATAGTGGCTGAGCTCCAGCCCTGCTTCAGGTGAACCCTGCTTCTCTTTCTCTCTCTCTCTCCTCCCCCCACCTCCTTCTGACCCTCCTGGGATTTCTCTCTCTCTGCCCCTCGTTCACTTGCACACGCGCTCTCTCACGCTCTTACGTGTTCTCTCTCAATAAATGTACTCAATTTTTTTTCTACTTTTTTTTTCATGTTTTCACTGAATATCTTGTTTGTTTTTAATATAATTTATTGTCAAGTTAGCTAACATACAGTGTATACAGTGTGCTCTTGGTTTCAGGGTTAGATTCCTGTGATTCATTACTTACATATAACACACAGAGCTCATCCCAACAAGTCTATCCTCAGAGCCCCTCACCCATTTTCCCCTCTCCTCCGCATCCCCCCCCATCAACTCTCAGATTGTTATCTGTATTTAAGAGTCTCTTATGGTTTGCCTCCATCTCTGTTTGAAACTATTTTTTCCCGTTCCTTTTCTCCATGGTCTTCCATTAAGTTTCTCAAGTTGCACACATGAGTGAAAACATCTGACTTATTTCACTCAGCATAACACCCTCCAGTTCCATCCATGTTGCTACACGTGGCCAGATGTCATTCTTTCTCATTGCCATGGAGTATTCCTTGTGTATATAAACCACATCTTCCTGATCCGTTCATTGGTTGATGGAGATTTTGGCTCTTTCCATAATTTGGCTATTGTTGAAAGTGCTGCTATGAACATTGGGGTACATGTGCCCCTATGCATCAGCACTCCTGTGTCCCTTGGGTAAATTCCTAGTAGTGCTATTGCTGGGTCGTGG